CTTTCTTCTTAGAAACACACCGGTAAGTGGGGCAAGACTGTCATCGAGTACCGGTCACAGAAGACCTCACGCCTCCCCATCATTGACATTGCACCCATGGACATAGGAGGGCCTGAACAAGAATTTGGTGTGGACATAGGGCCTGTCTGCTTTTTGTAAAACCCAAACCCAGAAACAACACAATCCATTGAAAACCCAAAGGACCCAAGTACTTTCCAATCCCAGTCACTCTAGGATTCTGCACTGAATGGCTGACCTGACCTGATGTCCATTCATCCCATCCTTACAGTTCGGACTATTCTCCCCTCTTTCTAAGAGACCTGAACTGGGCAGACTGCAAAATAAAATCTCGGTGTTCTATTTATTTATTGTCTTCCTGTAAGACCTTTGGGTCAAGGCAGAGGCAGGAAACTAACTGGTGTGAGTCAAGTGACTGCCCCCAGCCCAGGCCAGAAGACCCCCTGCAGGTGCTGGGCACAGGAACTGTGTGTCCTACACAATGGTGCTATTCTGTGTCAAACACCTCTGTATTTTTTAAAACATCAATTGATATTAAAAACAAAAAAATTATTGGAAAGTACACATTGACTTGTGCTCTGTTGTTTTCCATTAGTCTTTGATTCTGTAGGCATGTCCAAATGTAGTCCTAGTACATTAGTAAAGACACCAATGCCACACCACCTGGTTTACAAACCTCTCATACACAGATTTGCCTCTTTCATAAACCTTGGCACTGCATGGAACCCAGTAGTGACTTGGGACCACAAAGACCAAGGGTATTAGTCAGGCTCATGCTACTCCAACAAAATACCTGACGCAAGCTACTTATGAAAGGTTTATTGTGTCTCATACTTCTGGAGGTTCAACTCCAAGATCAGGCAGGCCTATTGGTTTGGGCCTCAGATGAGAGCAGCACATCTTGGGAGGAGTGCACATCAGAGCAACTGCTCACATCATGAGCCAGGAAGTAGAGTGAGAGGAAGAGACCAGGGTCCCATCATCCCTTCTGAGAGCCCATCCCCAATGACCTGATGACCTCCCACTTGGACCAACCTCTCAAAGGTTCTACCACCTCCTGATAGCATCACCCTGGGGATCAAGCCTTTAACACATGGGCCTTTTGGGGACATTTATGTTCAAGTCACAGAGCTATGATTTGGGAAGGGAGGCACACCAGAGGGATGACCTTGCTCTTGAGAGTAAACACTGAACACAGTTCTATAGCAGCCTGGTGCAAGAGGCATTGGCACCGTGAGCTTAGGGGGCCGAGACCATGTGTGGACTGTATCCTGCTGTGTGGGAGAGATAGGAGATGCTCCCGAGGAAAAGTGGGGTAAAAAAATGGGGGAGGAGGGCAAATCCCTCAGGTGCCCATAATAAGTGTATGTGAGCCATCTGTGTTTCTTTGTATCTTTATATAAGATTTTAGACCAAGAAGAGGTGGAAATGCTCAACTCTGCCCTTTATACCCTACCCCCCCACACACACTTTTCCACTGCCTCCAGTGGGACCAGAAAGTCCCCATTCTTCACTTCCTGGGTCTACACTTAAAGCTTCCAGGGACTTCCTCTGAATACCACACTTAAGAATGGACAGCCTTCCCTTTACCCCTACCACCAGGTGTCCCTTGCTTTCTAATGCCATGGGTGTATGGTAGAAATAAGCAAGATGTTCCTTTTTCAGAGGCCATGATGGTGGTGATATGTAGTAGACAGGAGACAGGAAATCAATCAGAATACACAATAGCAGTATTTTGTAAAACAAATTTCAAAAGCTATCTGGCACAACTGATAAAACAGAGCATGACTTTCTCTGCCCTTTCTCCTATCCTACTCCTCTTCCTTTAGATTAAGATTGATGGTTTTTCTATTGAAGAAATAAAAATGAAACAAAAATATTTTTGTCATGTTTGTTTGTATTAATGCCCATATTATGGTATAAAAACAGTTGAATGAAGTATATATTACTGATACTGGAATGTTGATCCCGAGTTTGTGTTCTGATGTTGTCAATAACTGAAGACACCAGGCCAGGAGTTAGGAGTTAAAACAAGGACAAAGTTTATAGAAAGGAAAGCAAAGCATCTTGATGGGTGGGACTTAGTGAAAGAGCTAAGCCAAACAATGGCTGAAGTCTAGGAGGTGATATATGGCACTAACTGGCTTAGGTCCAACTATTCTACCTTGAAACTGTATTTGTGATTGGTTGGTGCTGAGTCAGTTTCTCACTGAACTCAGCCCCCTGTCCGTCCATCTCTTTATAGAACCGAGCAATCCTAGAAGGTCTGGTCAGCTCATCCTGACCTTGGAAGACTACGCAACTCATCCTGGCCTTGGGGCCACTACCACATTGTGTAGCTGCGTTTTCTTATTTTGGAGACAGGCTTGTTATTTCTCTGAGAAGCCCGTTGTTTCCCATGTGTCTTTAGATGTCTGCTTTTAAAGTGCCTCTCTCATCCAAAATGGAGTCACCCTCTGTTATTGCCCCCTTTACCAGGGCTAGTTCATGGAAAAATACAGAAGTAAAATGAAAACATGGTAACAAGAAACACATAATTAGGGTAGGTAATTAAAAATAAACAACCCTCCTACCTACCAAGAGAGCTAAATGAGGGCAAGGTGGACAGCAGTGAAGGTATATAGACTGCCTTAGACAATAGGTAGAGATTAAGAGCTGAGTTGGTTTCAGCCTGCCAATCCAACTCTTCCTTGCTCACTCCACTTCCCACACCAGTTTCCTACTCTGAATAAAGTAGTCAGGTAGGTTGTGATCACTCAAGACCTCTGCAAGAGAAGTTGTGCTATATGCAGGTGACTTCTCACTTTTACTAGGCACTCAGTTTCTGAGTGCCTAGTAAAATCTGGAAATAATCGCAGCTCCTCCCCTGGGAAGGGGAGAGAACCAGCAGGAGGAACTCAAGGGAGGAAAGGAACAGGAAGCCCTGGATCTAAAATCAAGTTGAAATACACTACCCAGCAGGGGGTGCTGTGCTACCAGTCGTCCTAATCACCCCCAGAGGGAAAGGTGAGAATAACCAGGATCATGGCTAATTCCCCAGGTCTCTGATGTCCCAGGAAAAGCAGAAGGTCCTCCAGTCAGAATTACCTATCAAATTCCTGAGTCAGTGGAATAGTGTGGACAGAGTGGCCCACTGATCATGAGGGTTTGTTCAGGTTGTTTTCACTTTCTCCTCTTTATGGACGTGCCTGGCATCAAAAGACTTTGGAGCCAGTCACCTGAGCTCCAGCTAAGACTCTCAAGTCCCTTGGATTCAGAGTAAATCACAGGACAATTTCTGAAAGGGTGTCCCTTTCTAAACAAGTGACAAACACAGAATCTTAAAGGCGCAGAAAAGAATGGTTATTCTGCCTAGGGAAAAAATCTGAGGCCCTATTGATTCATGTAGAGCTTTTAGCATATGGACTGATTCTTTTTAATAATTTTCCCATCTTTGAGCTAGAATCCCTGGGATAGTTGACCCAGAGATCTTGGTGGACTTACTGTGGGAAAACTATAGCTAGTGGAGGTAAACCGTGGCCTATATGGGTGTGGTGAGCATAAAAGGCTTGTGACAGTTACAAGTTTCTAGTTGTAACTCTGGACAAAATACATTAGAAACTGCAACCTTTGGCATAAAGCAGATCCCCCAGTATTTTGGAATTAAAAAATACACAAATGAATGCAGCAACTCTTCAACCACGTGACCTGGCATAAGTAGTTTGAAATTAAGAAAGCGGTCACAGTACAGACGGAGTGGAAGCTAGATGGAGGGAGGAGTGATCTCCAGCAAACCTCACCTCCAAGAAACATTCTTTGCCAGTTTCAGTCCCCTGGAAACACAACGGTTATGGTAATGACAGCTGAGTCCCCCACTTCTCCTTCATAATTCAGGGAGGTGCTGAGAGAAAATTCTAAATTTTTGTTCAAGAATTGACAACCATCATGATAAAACCATGCAGAATATCCCAAGGTGCAGTTTGGGATGCTAAGAATGGAAGTAGATATGAGAATTCATGGCATTGAGACCAGACTTACATTGCTATATATAAATATTACGTAGAGCTCTCATTTAATTAAAAACTGGACTTAAGGTAATACTAAGAGGCATGAAGTCACAAAAATGATTCAAAATTAAACTATGAATATGAGTAGCTTTTTTGAAATTGCACGGTGAATGTGCTTACAGGGGCTATTTGAAAAGTGGGAAAACTAAAGAAAACATAGGAGTGTGAACATTTTCATGAGTTCAGGGCATGTGAAATGGTGCACTTGGTCCTGTAAAGTTATTGTGCTCACATCACACAGCCAAGTTAACACCAGAACTCCAGTGTTCAACCCTCCGTTATGAGGTAATTCAGTCATGGCCAGTGTCAGTCAAATAGTCAAAATCTAGCCTTAGTTTGAAGATTAAGGGTGTGAGATTAAGAAAACAGTGAAAAATCAAGCTAAGTGAACAGGGACAAAACCTCGTGTAAAAGCCCAGTCACTATCTGCTGCTCTACTGGAGTTTCCTGAGAACTCCAGGCTGCAGAGAGGTGGAGCCCATCTTGGTTGAGCTCTGGGCCTGATCACTCAGTGTCTCACCATATTCTCCGCCATCTTGCAACTGTAGCTCACCCACTGGTATCTGAGAATGGAGAGACAGCTGCAGGAACTTTTGATGTAATGTCAAACCAGGTCTAAAACCAGGACTAAAGCCAGATGGGGCAGAAGTATTCCTCAGGCAAGCAGCTTCTCACTTCTAGGAATCTCTACCCTACCCTTTTCAACCTCATGTGTGCTCTGCTCTGAAAGAGCAACAGGGTAGCCTGTTGGAGAGGCACATGTAGTAGGGAAGCTGCTTGCTGTAACAGTGCTCACATGGATAGGGACATACAGTTCTCTTTCCTTCTGTATACATCCTGTGCTGACCCTCTTAGCAGGCAGCATTCTAAGGTTCCCCCAGAGGTGCCTATGAACACATCCAGGTACTCAGAGACAAAGATGAATCAAAAGCAGGGTTTATTTTCTACCAAATTTTTCTATCAAATCTCCATTCCAAGCCAATGGATGAAGGGTAAATCAAGCCCCACACAGAGTTTTGGTAGAAACAATTGTAATATCCTTCTACAGGGGAAAAAATGCTTTACTTCAACTTTACTTTATTATTATTTTGAGACAGGGTCTTGCTACCTTTTGTCCAGGGTGGCCTTGAACTTGCAATTCTCCTGCCTCTGCATCCCAAGTGGCTGGGATTACAGGCATGAGCCACCATGCCCAGAACAACTTTCTTTTTTAAAAGCTTAGGCGTTTGGGAACAAACAAAACAAGTGCATATACTGTGCTATCTCCTCTATGTATTACAGTTGTCCCTCCCTGCTGCCGCTTCTGTGCAGATGAGGCACCAGTATGTCCACAGCTGTATTAACAATCCTACCTCTACATCACTCTGTTTTGACAACTTAGAACCCTGGTACAATTTCAGCTTATAATGCCTCAAGAATGGCTGAAAAGACCTGAATTAAAGTCTTCAAACCTTTATTGAGTGCCGACTATTTGCTGGGCATGGGTTAGGCACTGGGCAGTGATTCTGCTGGTTCTGAGAAACACACGTGGTGATGCAGAAAGGAATCTCCCTCTGAGTGGCAGGAGGATGTTTGCTAGGGCTTAAAAGAACCAATTCCTCCTCCACTTACACCATGTGGGATTAGTAGAGAATCTGGGCCCTGGGAACCCCTGAGATTGGCTCTCTTCTACAGGTGCTGTTATGAGAGAACCAAGAGCTGGTACTAAACAGCTGTGGAATTTGCTCCACAGTCCACATAGTGATGTGTCTCCAGGGAGCTCTGCGTCATATGGCCAATGTATAAAATCTTCACGGAAGTCCTACAGAAAAGAAGACCAAGAAGATATAAATAAACAAGAAAAATGGCTCAAATAGGTTCTTGCAAGTCCAGGCAATAATAGCTACCTGGGCCCTAGGCATGTATCTTCACGGTTATGTAACTCAGAGACCAGAGGATCTTTCTGAGTAAAAAGATGCTATGTCAGGGGGTGACCTTCTGGGTAAGTGGTTCTTAACCAGGGATGATTTTACCCCAGAGGGGACTTCCAGCAATGTCTGGAGACATTTCCATTTGTTTCAATGGAGGGGAGCAGAGGGTCGTGCGTGTTACCAGCACTGGCAGGACGAGACCAGGGATGTAGCTAAATATCCTACAGTGCACAGAACAGGCCCCTACAAAGAACTGTACCACCCCAAATGCCAACAGTGCTTAGGCTGAGAAACTTGCTCTAGTCCTATTTCAAATGCCTGTAAAGCCTATCACCTGCAAATTTGATGGTCACAGTTCCAAAATAACCTTAAAGGTCCATGACACGATCATCTGTGGTGAGTGGATGTGTGGGTCAAATGTCTAGTACTTACACCTTGAGAAAGCATTTTTGATTTTTAACATATCTCACTAGAATTCTAAAGGGATCACATGTGTTTAGTTAAATTAGACCCTTTTTTGGTGTTATCAGGGTTTGAACTCAGGGGTTTGAACTTAGGGCTTTTCCCTTGTTAAGGTGTTCTACTTCTTGAGCCGCATCCCCATCCCTTTTTGCTGATTATTTTGGAGATATGGTTGTCCTTTTTGCCAAGGCCAGCCTAGACATTGTTCCTATTTTACACTTCTGGTGGTAACCAGAATGACAAGTGCCTACCACCACACCCAGGGTTTTTCTGTTGAGATGGGGATCTCACAAGCTTTTTTGCCCAGGCTGGCCTAGAACCACAATCCTCCCGATCTCAGCCTCCCATGTAACTTGTGATGACAGGGGTATACCATTGTGTTCAGCTACTGATTGAGTTGGAGACTTGTGAACTTTTTGCCTAGGTTGGACTTGAACTGTGATCCTCCAGATCTCAGCTTCCCAACTAGCTAGGATTACAGGCATGAGCCACTGGCACCCAGCTCAGGCCCCATTTATTGGAGAAAACTGTATGCTTGACTGTGAAGCTGATGACTTGTGCAGGGAATGTGGACGTTACATCTCGGGAACACCAAGGGTCTTCTGGATCTGTGCTGTAGGGCATGGAGGTCCCTTCTTGCCTCAAAGCAAAAGTGTAAGCTCACAGGTCTCAGTGGGATAAGCTCACACAGGCCACCAGGAGGGGGAAATAAGTGACATACCGCATGAAGATAACTATGTTGTGTACCAAGATGTCAGGTACTGTGCAGAAGAAGCTGCCAGACAGAAAAATACAGAAACCATCAGTTTGGTTTAAAAGAAAACCCAAGAGGATCAGCAGAAAAGACACTGTCAAATCATTTGGGGTACCTCCCCTCTACCAAATCCACCCTTCTCACCCAAGTCCTGCCAGGGCCCACTAGTTCTGAGCTCCCACAAGTGTTTTCATCTTTCCATATCATTATCTTTTTTGTTTTCTCAAACCCATCACGTAAATGGTGAAGCTTGGTAATGATTCTAGTGGCTAATGTTCTCTTTTAGAAATTCACATATCAGATGATACTCTTACAAATAAACTTATAGACAGCCACAGCTAGGTATCTAAGGGCCAATGGCTGGGATGTCAGGTAGGGCCAAGCTCCATCAACTGAATAGGACTCTGTCCAGTAAAGAGCACACATATATAGAACATTGTCCTTACTACACATAGGAAAACAGTCCTCCCATCTCAGCCTTCACTGTGAAATTCACCTGAAAATAAGACAATGTTGTCAGTCTGTGGCCCAAGCAGGCTTGACATAGAACAGCACTATTATCAGCAATCCACAGATCCTAGATCATTCTTCCATCACATACAAAAATACATCCCTGAGACTGTCCCTGGTACAGAGACAACAGATACTTCCAACCTCCTCCCTTTTGAGAGGCCAACCGCCCTCGGACTATAATACTATCTCTTTCTTGATTTATGGTAGGCCAGTTTCCCTTACAAATTCTTTTACTCCTCAAAGACTTAAATGCTGCTTTTGTTTTTCTTCCCCCTTCTCCACAACCATTCATAATTACAAAGCTCATTAGGTCTTCCTCAAGTGGAAATGAAGAGAAGAAAAGGAAAGGAACCCAGCTGTGGCATTCCCACTGTGCCCACTCTTTTCCCGGGCCTGTGGGGCAGGGACCCAGAAAGAACAACATACCAGTTGCTCACTCCGTGGAGGAATGAGCGAGGCGTTAGTGGTGACATATGTGCCAACCACTGTGTTCATGTACTGAACCTGGCTGGACAGGCTAGTCACGGCCACAGAGTAGAAATTGGAGTTCCTAATTTTCAGGGTGGCCTGCATCAGAGGAAACATAGATAAGCATCCTAGGTCCAAGACTTACTGATACACAACCCAAGAAATGAGGCCCTATGTCTTACCATGATGGCGAGGATTACAAGGGAGTCCTGTTTATTAAATGTGACTTTCACCACTTTGATGCCGTTATCATCCACGAGTACTGAATGTGGAAACAGGAAGAAAACCACCAAGCCAAATGCCAGGAGACAGAGCAGGACCGATAGGAGGACATATTGTTTACTGCAAATGATACAGCACATGACCAACGGGGCAGTCAGATATCAGAGAATAATCAGGATTAATGCAAAACCAGGAACTAGGGGAGAATCAAAGGAACCAGGAACCACAAACCAGGAAAAGGAGTGGATCAGAAGTCTTTTTAAACCTGTTTGAACACTGTACCCTGAGAAGAAATTTCCTTCCAGGACACCCTGCTTCTCTAGTTCCTTCCTATTCCATCTCTTCTCTTGACCCTCAGGATATGTGTAGATTAAAGTTTCTTTCCTTAGATTGTGATGGGGCAGAGATGTCCCACTTGGGCAAATAGTCATAAAGGAAATGGCGTTTACAAGAACAGATGTAGTTGCCAAAGAATTAACTGGCATTCATACATATTAAAAGGAATGAGGGACAGAATGGGTCTTAACAGATGAGAGGCAGGTAACTCACGTTCTCTGAGGGCGCAATCTCTGATCACTGTGAGGGATCAAAGCCACCAACTCATTGACTTGCTCTAGAAGAGAACCAAACGCTCATTTTGTAAATCCCACGTACTGGCAGTACTTCCCTTCCAATTTTACTGCAGTCTGCCACAACAAATATTTGTCTGTGATACTAGTTTCACATTTTAGATCCAATGAACAGGAAATAAGTAAATCACAGTGAGTACCACAAATTACGAAACATCCATTGGCACTGCCAAGGCAGTAACACTGAGGTCTGGGATCTTACGTGGGCTATACTGCACGACCTTGGGAGTCAATGAACTTCTCAAAGTCACTGTTTCCTCACGTTTAATAGGAAGTTTTGGAGTAAATGGTTCCTAAGGTTCTTATCAGCTCTAAACTCTAAACCGTCAAGACTTTCTGAAAGCCAAATTAGTAATAGATATTCCGCTACCTAGTCCAGGCTCTGAGCATTTGTTTCTCCCCACTGGATATATTTTACATACCTTAGGCTAATAATCCTTATATGCTTCTTTATAAAGAAGCTTCCAGGATGGTACTCATAAAAAGTTATACCACTCCTTATGAGCAAGAGCAATAAAGAAATGTGCCTGTCCACAAATTCTATGACACACACAGAAATGAATATTTCAAACCACAGGGTGTGTGTGTGGGGGGGGGTTAATACAAGAGTAGAAGAAAAGAGTTTCAAATATAAAGAGATCACTAAAAGCTGTGGAGTTTATTTCAAGTCAGCTGAGCTGGCTCAGCTCGATTCAGAAAGTCTATGACTACACAGTACTGTTGCCTAGAAGAAAAGCTGTTGAGGCAGGCAGGAAAACCCCTGTGGGTACCTTGAAATTCTTGCTGGAGAAATATCCTTCCTGATCACCAGAGATCCTCACCTGTTGGGATGTAGCCTGTTCCTTGGCACGTGAGACAGGTGATGCTGTCTCTCCCCGTAAACTCTACATATGGGAACTGAGCGATGGCGTCTTCCTGCTCTCGTTCAGCCAGCAAATCCTCCCCGTCATCTTCCTTTCGCTGGCAAGAGGCAGGGCGAGCAGAGACAGAATGCTGAGACCCCATGGCTGCGGTGTGCAGCCTGTGTCATGTCCTGGATGAAAAGCGGCAAATGAGTACGTTAGTGCCTGGACCAGTCTGTGGTCCAGACTGGGCCACAACAGAAAAAGCAAAAATCCCTTCTTTATAAGAAAAGTGAAGATACAAAAATGACAAGTGGCTGTCCCGAGTGTGAGTCTAATACCTGCACAGTTTCTACCGGGACTCTCATTTTGCCCTACATACAGCAGGGGAAATGGGGCCGGCCTTCCGCCAATCTGCCCAGCTGCTCACTCACCTGGGACTCCACCTATCCAGCTCCCACCTGGTCCAGCCTCGCCCCTTGCTCTCCCCTATCTGAAAACTCTGCGCCCTCCACGAGACAGCAAACAGGCAGCGAATTAGTAACAGGCCTTAGCGATCCCCCTCCCCCTCCACTCTCAGCCCAGGAGGCGGGGACTCAAGTCACGCCCCCCGGCAGAAAGCGAAGATCCGAGCTCATCAAAGTCACCCGGGTGGAGCAAACGCCAACGTCCCGGGTCCTGACGGGGGCACAAGATCCGGAAGCTCCTCTCTGGGCTGCTCCTCCGGCCACCTGTCAGCTTCGGCGGGTTTACTACCAGCCTATTCCTTCCGCGCAGCGGCCCGCACTCGGTGCGCAGGCGCAGAGTGGCCTGCGGCCTCGGGGGACGCCAGCAAGCGCTCGCGCCTGCGCTCTCGAAACTCCGGGCCTTACCTGCCGCCGCGCAGCTGCAGCGCCCCTCGGCGCCGGTAGAGGGCGGCAGAGAACGTGGTGTTGCGTAGCCAGGTGCAGCGTGGGCGGCGGTGGGCGGCGGTCCAGGTTCTTCCCTCTGTCCTGAAAGGCAAGAAAAGGCTTGGGGTCAAGTTTCCGGATCCCAGCACCTCTGTGATGGAGGAGGAAGGCGCCGCCGGTGGCCACAGCCCTTCTCACACATACGTACTACACAGGGGCTGTGTAGACCCTGAGGGTGTAAATAAGCCAAGCACTTTAGAGTCACCGCTGCTGGGAGCGAAGACAGAGGAGGTCCTTTGGAGGGGTAGGGACCTCGACTCGCCCTCCAACATCGGATCCTTGACCCAGTCGCTAGAAAGAATTGAGGGACAGTCAGATGTGCGAGCCATAGCAGTTTATTAGCCAGCATAGGACAAGACGCACGCAGGACAGCGTGGGGGTGAAAGACGCACTATCCTATCTTTTAGCAGAGCATATATACGTTTGGGGGCTGGTTATTGAAATTCTATTGTGGAATTCTTTGCACTGACCCTATGTCCCAATTAGTCCTCTATTTTGACTGTTCTCATAGCACTTTATCCGGAAGATTTTATTATTGTGCTTTGAGACTTCAGTCAGTAAGGGAGTTAAACCAAAGGTACATAATCGTTTGCTTTTTACCTTACAAGAATACGTTCGAAGTTGCTAGGGATGTTTTAACGTGTTTTCTTTCAACGTCCAGTGCTTTAATTAAGCTGTTTTCAGTTCTGTTGTGGGACTTCTTTGTGTGGAGCCTGAGTGCTGCATGCAGGAATAAACATGGCATAATTACAAAGATTTATTTGGATATTTCTACCTTTTTACGTATTTCTCCTTTCCCCGTCCTTTCTGTTTTCCCTGTCTCAGACAGACACTCCAGTGCTATAGATAAAAGTGCTGCTGGAGGCCCGCAGTGGTGGGGCCTCTTGTCCTGCGTGGGAAAGCTTGGGAGTGGGAGGTCCTGCTGGCCTCTGGCAGGGACGACTGACCTTACTTCAGGACGTCCCCTCGCCAGTCCTCCACAAAACAGGTGAGACTAGACATAAAATGTTTGAGAATGCCTTTTAAAGGATGGGATTGTGCATGCTGCCAGGTTGAGCTCAGCCGGCTGTAGAAGGAAGTGAGTTGGCTTTAAGCAGTGAGGTGGGGGAGGGGAGATACTCTGAAACCAGATGAATGAGAGTGAGGCTGGCAACTCTGCATTTCTGCCAGCTCTGTATTCTTCTCATGCTCCTTTGGGCAATGCTGATGCTCCTGCTGCTGTCTAGCCACCTGCCCTACTGCTGGTCACAAACAAGAGCCCATCCTCTAGTTACATGGGTGTCACCTTACTTTGTGGTCTCTGCTGAACAGCCTACCAAAGACAGCATGCAGTAAGCCTAATGTCTGCACCGTGGGCATTAGGGGTGTTACAGTGGGTTGCCCAGGCTGCAGGAGAAGCAGGGAAAATGAGGAGACAGTAGCCTGATCCACCAGCTGAAGAGGAAGAGAAGCCAAGAAGAAGACTGAAGGCCGGGAGAGCCCTCCCCACTGTGATGGACAGACACCTTCAAAACTTCATATGCCACACACCAGCATTTCAGTCAAGAATGATGGACCCATACGATGGGGTCCTGAAAGATTATAGCCTCGTGATGTCATAGCTACCTTAGTTTGTACAGAAATTCTGCACTGATGCATGGTGAGTTCCAGCAATTGCTACTCCTTGTGAGTAGGCATCTGTGTGCCATTCTCTCACCTTTTTGCCTTTAAGAAATGTGGAGGAAAAACCCATCCCAAGAGTAAAGTTGGGGGATGCCCTCTGCCAACCCATGATTTTGGAACCAGCCTCCTCACAATCTCTCCCTTGTCCATCTGCCATCTCAACACATTCAGTTGAAAGATTAAACATTGACCTTCTAATTACAGCATAAGTTCCTATCAATAATACAATCAGCCATCAATGAGCAGACATTGACTGTAAATTGTTCACTTTTGTAGATTTGTGAGTTCTTTCCAGTAGATATGTTAAAATGTCTTCCTTAAATACACAACCAGCATTATTCATAATATAAAATTCAGAAAAATTATTTCCTTCCTGATTATTCTACTTTGGGCTCGTCACTTTAAAATTTGAATTTGGACTGCAGGCAATTTGTCTTTGTCAGTAGTTCATTTATATACACAAGTATAATACTGTCAAGTTATTTCACCAAAATACATTTGTCATCCTATGAGTGTAAGTTTTCTGCTGTAAAAAAAAAAAAAAAACATTTTGAAGAGAAAAAGGGTGGGGAGGTAATCCCAGCATTTGGAAAGCTGAGGTAGGAGGATTGCAAGTTCGAGACTAGTGTGGGCTACATAGTGAGTTCCCGGCTAGCCTGAACTGCATAGTGAGACCCTGTTTATATATATACATATATATACATATATATATATATATATATATATATATGTATCTATATATGTACATATATAGTATCTATATATGTATATATATATATAGTAATATATTTAGTATGGAGCTTATGGTCAGGAAGAGGCAGGGTTTCCAGTCCCTTATGGGACTCACCAGCAAAACCCTGAGGCTGACAGCTACCAAAAGTGTATGGGGCAGTCAGACTGGACTATACTCCTAGTGAGGCTTTTATTGCATACTGTCCCCCAGCACCCAACTTGACGCCTATGCATAGTAGGCCCACAAATGCTTGCAGAACCACCCAGCCTGGAGGCCAGCCAGCACAGCTCCAGGGGAGCAGAGCCAGCATCCGCTAGAGCCATCTGGGAGGCAGTTTTAATTGGGCAGCACATTCCTAAGGAGACAGCCATCACTTCTCACCTGTGCCTAGCTTCCAGGTTTGTCTCACCATCCCGGTTATGAGCAGTGAGGTTTCTGCAGACGTGAGCTCACTGGGGCTCTCCAGGTGGGCCAGGGCAGAGTGGGCCCTTTGAGGCATTCCCGCAGTCTCCATGGCCATTACGTACCCCTGGTTCTACAGGATAAGAGCAGTGGAGGCCCAAAAGAGCTGCTGACTCTGAGAGGCCCTCAGGTACGATCGATCTCGTGTCCTTCCTCCCACTCACACCTAGGGACAGGACAATGTAGGTGGATGCTGGGGGCTGTCAAACTCCCTTTGCCCTGATGGAAATCGAACACTCTTCCTGAACTTCATTCTTCCCTTTTTGTTTATTCCATAGATGGCAAGGGTGGAAAAAACAAAACAAAACACAGGCACCACAGCCAAGCCTGTGGTCTCCTTGCTTGGAGAGCTGGGTCTTAGCCCCTCTGCTGCAGCCACTGGGGTACCCAGGTAGATTTATGGAGCATGCACAGCCTGTTAGTTAATGGAGCCAGAGTTTATTCTCAGAACTCAAAATTTTGGGCCGTGTGTTTCTTCAGTCAGGTCATGGTTCCACCCTCTTAAGGCCAGGTTCAGTTCTGTAAGGGAAGAAAGAAGAGAGAAAAGAGGATCACTGACATTTAAGAACTCTGCACAGCCATGGAGCATTCTCCCACTTTTGAGGCACTTCCCTTGATGGCAAGCAGCTGTTATTCCCATTTTATTGGTGGAGAAACTGAGATACAGGGAAGCTGTTTGGCCCCAGTGATGGGATGAGGGGCCAAACTGGGTCATGGATGTTCTGCTTTCAAGTTCTGACTCTTTTTACTTGACTCTGTTTAGTTCCCATGAAGAAAGGCCTCAGGCAGAGCGCTCCCAGACCTTTTCTAGGAAGAGAGGGAGCAGAGGGTACTTAAAGACAGAAAGCTCCCAGGCAGGGGGCTACACCTGTGGGTGGCAACCATAGCAGCTGTAGGCAGGGAGCTCTGCTCAGAGGTTAAACATAAGTGGGGTGAAGGGAATGAGAGCTCAAGGAACAGACAGTTCACCACACCTTGAAAAGGGGACCCCCAATATCCACCCAAATGAATGGAAGTCAGGACACAATAGAGACAGCTGTGCAATGTTCATCACAGCACTATTCACAGTAGCCAAGTTCTGGAAACAACCCAGATGCCCTACAACTGATGAATGGATCAATAAATTGTGGTGTATATACACAATGGAGTGTTACTCTGCCACAAGGGATAATGACATGGGGTTTGAGGGTAAATGGATGCAATTGGAGGACAACATGTTAAGTGAAGTTAGCCAGACTCAGAGAGACAAAGGCTGCATGTTTTCTCTCATACATGGAAGATAGATCCAAAAGATAAACATATACACAAAAACAAGCATGATCAAATACAAACTCAGTTGTAGAACATGTTTGTAACAGTGGAACTACTCTGTGGAACTCAGGAAAAAGGGAAAGGAAAAGAGAATGACAGAGCATCAGTAATATCGCATAACATAAGATGTGAAGGTAGAGGATATAGGATGTGTATTGAAAGATGTTGAAAAGTGGGGGGTGGGAGGTAAAGGGGTAAGGGAGAGTAATGGAAGAGTCTGAGCGGACCAAAATAAAGTATACCCACAGTGGGGATATGTAGAGAAACCCCTTTGAACATCAACTTAAATATTAATAATGAAAGACATGACTATAAAATAGGTACAGTGTGAGTCTGGGGGATACTAGTGGAAGGGGGGAAGGTTAATGAAGGAGGTTAAGGTGAGGGTATATGGTTGATGGACTTATATGAAATAGAACAAAGAAACCTCTTGCAATTGCTTTAAATAGGGTAGAGAGGAGGTTGAGGAAGAGAGAGGATGGGGGTGATCTAACCAATGTACAATATAAGCCTAATTGGAA